GGACAGCACGCAGGCCCTGAGTTTGAGCTCCAGGACTGGCAACAAGAAAAAGAAAAAGGGAATTGTGATAAGGAGTTAAGTGAATGTGTTAGGGTTAGATCATCACCTGATCGCTAGTGAGAACTCAGTAGGTGTTTGCTATTATTCTTATTGGCATTATTGCCTGGATGAATCCTTATACCAGCCCTGCTGGCTCAGTGCAGGGCTCCCATTCTACCAGTGGGAGGCAGAGGCAGAGAGGTCGAAGCCCAGGCTCAAGTCTGTACAGCGTTGAGGGTGAATGGGCATAGGAACTAAGCTTGTTGGAAGATTGTGCTCTCAGGCACTGGGCATGATTTCATCTCCTCTGGTTTGGGATCAGCTTTGGATGTGCACACACCGCACACACACTCATCTGTGCAGCCCCCAACCCCACAGGAAGACTAGGTGGGGTAGGAGGCTGTCCCTGGGACAGGCTGGGGGTGCCTGTCCCTACATAGGCCTGCCAATCTCCCTGGCATCGCGACCTCTGGGCCTGGGGATTATTGGGCTCAAGAAAAAAAGCACAGGGCTCCACCTAGTGGTAATGAGCGGCACTGCCGCCGCCGCCCAAACAACAGCTCAGAGCTCATTGTCTCCTCCCCCCCCCATAAGATGTGTCATTATTTCCACCAGTGAGAGCTAGAGCCAGGGCTCAGTGTCGCCCCCTGCAGGCTGGGAGGAGGTGCATCGTAATTTCCGTTCCAGGAGTTCAGGAGTTCAGATCTTTCCTTTTTAACATCCAGCAGGGATGCAGACTTGGTGGCTGTGGGGGGCATGGCAGCTGTGGGGGGCAGTAAGGTTTGTTTTTCTGAAGCTACCTACCTCCTCCAAACTTCCTCACTTCCTGAGCTGCAGATGACACACCCCTCCAGAGATGTGTGCCTTTCTGCTTACAGGACAGCAAGACCCTGGAGCGCACCTGCTCGCCCCTCCCTCTCCAACGGCACGGCTCTGCTCGCTGCTGCCCTCCCAGCCCCCCTCCCCGCAGCTGCCCCTGCTTTTCAGTGGCCTCCCTGGTGTCCCCCACCTGGGCACTGCAAGTCCTCACCCACTGTGACCTGCCCTGCGCCTGTGCGTCCTTCCTGCCCAGTGAAAGCACTTGTGTCCCCCTCCCCCTTCCCCCCCTGAACAAGTGTACCCCGAGGTTTTGGAAGAGAACCAAAGGCCAAGGCTGCCATGTCTGCCTCTGATGCCCTCTGTGGTGGACACAGAGGCCGATGAGACCTTGAAACTCCTCAGTCAAATAACATTCATCTCCCGCCCTGCCTCCCCCCGCCCACCCCCTGACTTCGCTTTTCTGCCTATTATTTAAGGGACCCTCCCTACTTGTGGGGTGCACCACTTTTTCTTCAGCCAGGCTGAAGGAGACTTGGTCATCCTTCTCAGATTTTCCTCCCAAATAAACGGTGTGAGTCCACAGAGTTCGTCTTTCTGCTTTTTCTTTTCTTACAGACAGTCCTGGGGCTTCAATTCTGGGCCTCGAGTTCTCATTTCCTCAAGGATGGTGCTCTACTATTTGAGTCACACCTCCACTTCTGGAGGGTTTTTTTGTGTGTGGTTAGAGATAAGAATCTCACGGACCTTCACACCTAGGCTGGCTTTGAACTATGATCTTCACACCAAGACTCTCGACTAGTGAGGCTAGTGTGACCCACCGCGCTGGGCCACACCTTCATCTTCATTTTTGGCTCTGGGTGTGGCTGTTATTGCAGTGGTTGGTCTGGGGTACGGCGGGTCTTCTGGGGGGGGGGGGGCTCAGAGCCCAGGACACTTTCCAGTTCCTGGCCCTCCCTCCTCCCCCCCAGCAAAAGGGAAATGCAAAAACAAGATGATGGGGCTAGGGGCATGGTCCGGATGATAGAATGACAGGCTTTGAGTGGAAAGCATCAGATCCCGAGTTCAAGTCCTGGTCTCTGAAGAGAAAAAAAATGTGTGTGTATATATATGTGTGTGTATATATATATGTATGTATGGATATATATATATATATATATATATATATATCAAGAATTTTAAGATGTTGACAGAGCACTAAACGCTCTGGGTAAAGATGGCCATACCTCATGGTGGTGAAGAGCCAGATGGGCCAGCGGGGGCCTCTCAAAGAAGCCAGGATGGGTTGTTAGAACACAGTGTCTTCCCCTTGCCGCTTGGTGACCCTGACCTGTCCTTCCAGGCCAGATATGGGGTGTCTGCTGTGGGCCAACAGAGGTCCCCAGGCCTGAGATGGTGGGACCATAGGCGGGACACCGGGAACAGTCTGGGAGAGAGGTTTGGGGCAGGAGACAGTCCAGACGAGTCTCCCTCCTCCCCACGCAATCTCCCCATCTGCCTGCTCACAATCCCGAGGAACCAGGAAAGATTTCAGCACCAGGGCGGGCTGATCCCCCTCCCCTGCGGCAGTGTCCAGAAACTCAACCTTTATTAGCTGACTTCTGACCTTTGCTCCTGCACCCAGGACTTCCTAAACTCCCACCAGGCAGAGCCTACAGCTTAGAACACCTTGCCCAGCAATAGGTAGTTGTCTAAAAATGTATGGTACATCTGGGTGTGATAGCGCATACCTGTAATCCCGGATTCTAGCGCACAATCCCAGATCCTGGGAGGTGACAGGCAGAAGTTAGCCACGAGCCATTGGGATAAGCAAAGGGAACCTAAAATGAAGGGGCCTTCTACCCTTGAGGGAAGGCCAGGGTTAGGAAGCAGATAAACATCAGTGGTGACTAGGGAGAAAAACACAGGATGTATGAGAAGGAAAACCAGGTTAATTAGACTTTCCCACTCACAAGTGGCCAGCCTGTATTCAGATCTAAATAGCCAGGCTGGGCACCAGTGGCTCAGGCCTGTAATCCTAGCTACTCAGGAGGCTGAGATGTGAGGATCATGGTTCAAAGCCAGCCCAGACAGGAAAGGCCATGAGACTTTTTTTTTTTTTTTTGGTCAGTCGTGGGGCTTGAACTCTGGGCCTGGGCGCTGTCCCTCAGCTCTTCAGCTCAAGGCGAGCGCTCTACCACTTGAGCTATAGCGCCACTTCCAGTTTTCTGGTAGTTTATTGGAGATAGGAGTCTCACGGTCTCTACTGCCCGGCTGGCTTTGAACCGCGATCCTCAGATCTCAGCCTCCTGAGTAGCTAGGATCAGGCCTGAGCCACCAGCACCCGGCAAGGCCATGAGACTCTTATTTCCAATAAACCACTAGAAAAGTGGAAGTTGCACTGGGGCTCAGGTGGTAGAGCTCTTGCCTTGAGTTGAAGAGTGCAGGTACAGCGCCCAAGCCCCGAGTTCAAGCCCCACAATAGACAAAAAAAAAAAAAAGATCTAAATGGCTCATCTGGACCAGGGCACTAGACAAGTTTTTGGGCTCATCTAAAGATTAATGAAAGGCTTTATTCAAGTCTAAGAGATCCAGCAACCAACAAAACCAACTCTGAAGCAAGTTAGCTTAAGGGTGAGCCATTCCCTGGCTCTCAAAGGGGCCTCACAGACACCCCATTTATACATTGTAACTGAAGGCCTGCTAGCCTGCATACATTGTAACTAAGAGAATTATGTGCCTGGGGGCTGGTCCTGGGAAAGCAGGTAGCCAATGAAAATTAGGCAGGGGGCTGGTCCTGGCAAAACAGGTAGCCAATAAAAACTGTTCTCACTTCTGAAGCCAAATAAGAATCTGCCTATTGAAAGCATATTCTTTGCTGGGCATGCAACTCTTGCCTAGAATCCTAAATAGGCTGGAGTCTGAGATTGAGAGGTGGAGGTCAGCCTGAGGCTCCTCTGGGAGGGTGAGAAAGACAAGGGCAGATGGATGGAAGCCATCTTTGGGGACTTAGGGGGAGATGACGGGGGCAGAAGTGGGCCCAGTCCTTCCATCTTGTGCCAGTCCTGGGATTTGAACTCAGGGACTGTTTGAGCAGTTTTTGCTCAAGGCTAGCACTTTACCACTTGTGCCATAACTCCATTTCTGGCTTTTTGGTGGTTCACTGGAGATAAGAATCTCATGCCAGGTTGGCTTTAAAACAGTTTTTAAAGCTCAGCCTCCTGAGCAGCTAGGATTACAGGCATGAGCCACGAGCACCTGGCTAGTTTTTCTAATAAAGCAGTAGATGAGGTAAGAAAGGTCATGCCTACATCTAATAATGCAAAAGTGGCTTAAATGGTTTGACAAGCAGTGGGCCGTCTGTGTTAATGTGCAAAATTAGGACCCTGGGCCAGTGACTGGGTGTGTGGCTTCACTGTGGGCAGCTTGGTCCTGTCTGGGACAGGGGGCCAACTTAGCCCTGCGTCCTGTCCAGTACCAGCTGACTGACCGGCTACCCTCTCCCATGGGCACTGGGCCAGCATCACAGCACCCTGGCGTCTGGCCTGTCCCGCCAGCCCGGCTGAGCTACTGATGCTGTAGTCCCAACCTGTCAGGGCTGGTGGCTTCACAGGCCCCACGGCCATGGTTCCAGCCAGGGTGCTGGACCCTGCTCTGTTCCCTGGCTCAGCAGCGCAGGCCCGGCTCTGTCTGGTGCTCGCTCCCAGTGTTCTCTGGGAGATTTTTATGTCCCTGCTGACCTTCAGACCTACAGCTTGGCCCAGGCTTTTTGCTTCTTCCACTACTGGAGCTTGAACTCAAAGCCTGGGCCCTGTCCCTTGGCTTGTTTGCTCAAGGCTGGTGCTCTACCACTTGGGTCACAGCTCCATTTCCAGCTTTTTGGCTGATGGTTGCCGATTTTCTTGCCTAAGCTGTCTTTGCAAGTAGATTCTCGGCTCTCAGCCTCCTGAGTGGCCAGGATTCCAGGTGTGAGCCGCCAGGGCCTGGAGGGGCATAGGGGCAGCTGGGCACCTGGGGTGGCCTGGCTCAGGGCTGCCCCTCTGGGGCACGGCTGTGTATCTGCACGCATGTGAGCGATGGCGGGAATGGCTGCTGTCCAGGCAGAGGGGAAGAAAGGCACAGAGGGACGGTTCAAAGATTGGTAGATTTTCTTTTTTCTTCTGGTAAAGAAAAATAATGTGTTTTTTGAAACAAAACCCAAGTCAAAGTTCCGCCCACCCACCCCCGCCCAGGGTGTGCTGCGTCCGGGTGAGCTGAGGCCCGGCCCGGCCCTGCCCTGTCCCGCGCTGCCCCGCGGGCTCCGAGCCCGGGGCCGGGCTGCTTAGGCTAGAAGTACAACATAAAAACCAGACACCCCCCACCCTGGAAGCCTCCTGGGCAGCTGGCCTCTGGTCCTAACACTGCCCTGGCGCCTGCTGCCCACCAGGGGCAGGGCGGGCTGGACATGGCCCGGCAGAGGGGCGAGGTCGGCGCGGTTCCCTTCCCCGTGTGGTTTTTAAAAAATGACATTAGAGCACCCAGAGCTTCAGAGACCGACTCCCGGGCGGGAGCGGGGAGGCACCCTTCGGCCCAGCACCGGCCGGGCCAGGCCTGGCAAGAGGTGTAGAAAAATAAAATAAACTTTATCCCTGAATGGCAAGTGAAGACCCTCCTCCTGCCCCGCCCCCCACCACGTCCCCAGTGGGGAGACGCGAGCATCTGACAGAATGGACAGACTGACAGACTGGTGGGGCGGCGGGTGCGAGGCCTCATACCCTGCAGCACAGCCAGGGTGGTGCGTGCCAAGATCCCCTCTTCCTGCGCTTGGGGGCCAAACACAGGGGCCAGAGAGCAGGGCCAGTGGTGGTACTGGTCAGGAGGGCCGATGGGGGAGGGGTCAGAGGTCATGTAAAGGGAGCCGGGGGCCCTCAGGGGTGGGGAGGGTTCCAGATGATCTGAGGGGTCAAGCCAGGACTCTGAGTGGCAGCGCAGGTGAGTGGAAGGGGGAGACGGCCTGGGGGCTGCTTCACCAAGTCACAAAATAGGGGTACACAGAGCAGGAGTGTGAGGGAGAGGGAGGGCGGGGCTCACCACGGTCCTCCCCACCCTGGAGCCCCAGGAGTTAGAGGGGCTGGAAAGGGGCGAGGCAGGCTGACCGTCCCTCCCTTCCCACCTCCCCAGGCATCAAGGTGGCCCAAGCGTGGGCAAGTCTGGCAGGTCGCGGGCCGGGCTCAGTTCACAGCAGTGCACCCTCTCCTGGCCGATGTGGGGTGAGGGCCGCGGGTCCGGCGGCCTCTCTGGGATTCCTGGTGTCAGGGTCAGAGTCAGCACCAAACACAACCCACGTCCACCACGGAGGTGGTGGGTGAAGCAGGCGTCCTGGGGACTGGAACTGGCCGTCCACGAGGTGGAGGACTGCGGAGTCGGGTGCCGGCGCAGGCCCTGGCACAGGTCGGCACGGCGGGGTCAGCGGGCCCGGCCTGGCTGTCAGATGGCCGGGTCAGCGCAGGCTCTGGTACAGGTAGGCTGAGGTGAAGAGCGCATTGGCAGCCAAGCTCACAGCCAGGAGGCCGCGGACCAGGGAGGGTCCACAACGCCCTGTAGGACAGGAGACCTGGTCAGAACTGGTGTGGGCAGGGTGGTACCTCAATCCCTGAAGATGCAACCGGGGGCCTCAGGCCTCCCAGTGTTCCCAGGCATGAGGACCGGATGACTTCCTGTAAGATGCACCTGCCCCACAGGCCGGGCCAGGCTGCCCCGTGCCCGCACCTGGCAGAGGGGTCACCGGGACATTCACCTTACAGGCAAGGAAATGGGGGTCCGAGGAGGGGAGCTAAAGAGCAGTGACACAGCCCCAGCCCCTGCAGACTTTGCTCTGTCTGGCACAGCAGCCTTGGAGACTCGTGGCCATTGAAGTGCACTACACTGAAGTGTGGTTAGTGGAGTGACTTAATTCTATAATTTAGTTAAATGCAAACAGCCAGCCTTAGCCCGGCGCTGGTGGCTCACACCTGTCATCCTAGCTACTCGGGAGGCTGAGATCTGAGGATCATGGTTAAAAGCCAGCCTGGCCAAGAAAAGTCCATGAGACTCTGATCTCCAATGAGCCACCAGAAAACTGGAAGTGGAGCTGTGGCTCAAGTGGTAGAGCGCTCATCTTGAGCTGATGAGCTCAGGGACAGAGCCCAGGCCCAGAGTTTAAGACCCACAATTGAACCCAGCCACCCATGGCCAGAGAGTGGACCCGTCCTGGGGTGGCCCAGAAGGTACTGCGAGGACTCACCATTGGTCCATCTCTCCAGGACCTGCACAGAAAAAAGCTCTAGAAGATTCTTTTTCATTCCGGACCCTAGGGATCTAAGGCCAGGCTCTGAGCCCTCCCGCGCCCTCCATTCCGGGGGTCCCCACTCCACCGACCTCTCCAGGTGGCAGCCTCCTCACAGCACCCTCGGGTCGTGGTGTCCACCACACACGTGGATGACTGGGAGGAGTCGTCTTCCTTTTTGATGGAGCGGCTGTTACAGGCACCGTCTCTGGCCAGCACCGACCTCATGTCTGCAGAGAGAAAGGCCTGCAAGTCAGGGACTCATCTCGCCTCCTGAGCCCCACGCGCAGCCCCAGGACACAGCCTCAGCCGCTCACCAAGCCTGGGCGGCGGGAGGCCAGGTCCTGAGTGGGCCCTAGCTGTGTAGCTGCTGGGAGATACTGGTTCTAGATCAGAAACAGGAAATGAATGCCAAAAGGTGCTGAGGCGGGACATCTGGAGGGGGAAGTGGACAGGGCAGTGGGGCGGGCCAGGGAGTGGAAGTTTGCTTTTTGCTTGGCCTGCATTCAGCTCCGTGACCAGACCTTTCAAAATTATCAGAGAAATAAAAAATTCACATGTCCATCTGAAAGTTTTAGGGTTTCTTTTGTGTGTGTGCCAGTCCTGGAACTTGGCTAGGTGCTATACCCAAGCTTCTTGCTCAAGGCTAGTGCTCTGCCACTTGAGCCACAGCGCCCCTTCCAGCTTTTCAGGTAGTTCAATGGAGATCAGAGTATCACAGACTTTACTCCAAGACTAGTTTTGAACCATGATCCTCAGATTTCAGCTTCCTAAGTAGCAAAGATTATAGGCATGAGCCATGAACGCCCGGAGTTCCTTTTCTTTAGACAAGATCTTGCTATAAAGCCAGCACGGCCTCAAACTCATGATCTCGCACTTCAGCCTCTGTAGAGCTGGGATTAAAGCAAATTCTAGACTGTTAACTTTTTTGTGTTCATACTGGGGCTTGAACTCAGGGCCTATTCTTCTTGGCATTTTCCACCTGTTTTTTTTTTCCCCACTCTACCACCTGAGCCACAACTCCACTTCCAGCCTTTTGGCTAGTTAATTCAAGATAACGGTTTCTCAGATATGTTTGCCCAGGCTGGCTCTGAGCGTGATCCTCTGCTCTCAGCCTCCTGAGTAGCCAGGATTGTAAGTGTGAGCCATGGCGTCGAGAGTACAATTAAAATTTTTTTTTAATGTTTTGGAGAAAGAATATAAGAAAAAAAAACTATAAGCAGACCACAGCCTGTCAGTGTGCAATAGGTTTTCTGTTTTGGTTTTGTTTGTTTTTGTTGGTCATGGGGCTTGAACTCTGGGGCCTGGGTGCTGTCCCTTAGCTCTTCAGCTCAAGGCTAGTGCTGTGCCACTTGAGCCACTTCTGGTTTTCTGGTGGTTAATTGGAGGTAAGTCTCAAGGACTTTCCTGCCCAGGCTGGCTTTGAACCGTGATCCTCAGATGACAGGCGTGAGCCACCAGCATCCGGCTGCAATAGGTTTTTGCTGAGTCCCAGAGAATAAAGAACCTCAAAAGTCAACTGCTAAATAAAGGACTATATAAAGGCAGCCAGTAGAGGGTTAGGTCCAAGCCGGTGAGTACGGATGCTCCCCTGGCCCCTGGGGGGAGGGGGATCCGGTAGTCACCCACAGCGTGCTTGGCCCACATGCACCCACACTCACCCACAGCGTGCTTGGCCCCACACGTACCCACACGCACCCACAGCGTGCTTGGCCCACACGCACCCACAGCGTGCTTGGCCCACACACACCCACACGCACCCACAGCGTGCTTGGCCTCACACGCACCCACAGCGTGCTTGGCCCACACGCACCCACAGCGTGCTTGGCCCACACGCACCCACAGCGTGCTTGGCCCACACGCACCCACACTCACCCACAGCGTGCTTGGCCCACACGCACCCACACTCACCCACAGCGTGCTTGGCCCACACGCACCCACACGCACCCACAGCGTGCTTGGCCCACACGCACCCACAGCGTGCTTGGCCCACACGCACCCACAGCGTGCTTGGCCCACACGCACCCACACGCACCCACAGCGTGCTTGGCCCACACGCACCCACAGCGTGCTTGGCCCACACGCACCCACACGCACCCACAGCGTGCTTGGCCCACACGCACCCACAGCGTGCTTGGCCCACACGCACCCACACGCACCCACAGCGTGCTTGGCCCACACGTACCCACAGCGTGCTTGGCCCACACGCACACACACTCACCCACAGCGTGCTTGGCCCCACATGTACCCACACGCACCCACAGCGTGCTTGGCTCACACGCACCCACAGCGTGCTTGGCCCACACGCACCCACACTCACCCACAGCGTGCTTGGCCCACATGCACCCACACTCACCCACAGCATGCTTGGCCCACACGCACCCACACTCACCCACAGCGTGCTTGGCCCACACGCACCCTCAGCGTGCTTGGCCCACACGCACCCACACTCACCCACAGCGTGCTTGGCCCACACGCACCCACAGCGTGCTTGGCCCACACGCACCCACACACACCCACAGCGTGCTTGGCCCACACGCACCCACAGCGTGCTTGGCCCACACGCACCCACACGCACCCACAGCGTGCTTGGCCCACACGCACCCACAGCGTGCTTGGCCCACACGCACCCACACGCACCCACAGCGTGCTTGGCCCACACGCACCCACACTCACCCACAGCGTGCTTGGCCCACACGCACCCACACTCACCCACAGCATGCTTGGCCCACACGCACCCACACGCACCCACAGCGTGCTTGGCCCACACGCACCCACAGCGTGCTTGGCCTACACGCACCCACAGCGTGCTTGGCCCACACGCACCCACACGCACCCACAGCGTGCTTGGCCCACACGCACCCACAGCGTGCTTGGCCCACACGCACCCACACGCACCCACAGCGTGCTTGGCCCACATGCACCCACAGCGTGCTTGGCCCACACGCACCCACACGCACCCACAGCGTGCTTGGCCCACACGTACCCACAGCGTGCTTGGCCCACACGCACACACACTCACCCACAGCGTGCTTGGCCCCACATGTACCCACACGCACCCACAGCGTGCTTGGCCCACACGCACCCACAGCGTGCTTGGCCCACACGCACCCACATTCACCCACAGCGTGCTTGGCCCACATGCACCCACACTCACCCACAGCATGCTTGGCCCACACGCACCCACACTCACCCACAGCGTGCTTGGCCCACACGCACCCTCAGCGTGCTTGGCCCACACGCACCCACACTCACCCACAGCGTGCTTGGCCCACACGCACCCACAGCGTGCTTGGCCCACACGCACCCACACACACCCACAGCGTGCTTGGCCCACACGCACCCACAGCGTGCTTGGCCCACACGCACCCACACGCTCCCACAGCGTGCTTGGCCCACACGCACCCACAGCGTGCTTGGCCCACACGCACCCACACGCACCCACAGCGTGCTTGGCCCCACACGCACCCACAGCGTGCTTGGCCCACACGCACCCACAGCGTGCTTGGCCCCACACGCACCCACACGCACCCACAGCGTGCTTGGCCCACACGCACCCACACTCACCCACAGCGTGCTTGGCCCACACGCACCCACAGCGTGCTTGGCCCACACGCACCCACAGCGTGCTTGGCCCACACGCACCCACAGCGTGCTTGGCCCACACGCACCCACAGCGTGCTTGGCCCACACGCACCCACAGCGTGCTTGGCCCACACGCACCCACAGCGTGCTTGGTCCCACACGCACCCACAGCGTGCTTGGCCCCACACGCACCCACAGCGTGCTTGGCCTACACGCACCCACACGCACCCACAGCATGCTTGGCCTACACGCACCCACAGCGTGCTTGGCCCCACACGCACCCACAGCGTGCTTGGCCCCACACGCACCCACACGCACCCACAGCGTGCTTGGCCCCACACGCACCCACACTCACCCACAGCGTGCTTGGCCCCACACGTACCCACACGCACCCACAGCGTGCTTGGCCCCACACGCACCCACAGCGTGCTTGGCCCACACGCACCCACAGCGTGCTTGGCCCACATGCACCCACAGCGTGCTTGGCCCACACGCACCCACACTCACCCACACCACAGCGTGCTTGGCCCCACACGCACCCACACGCACCCACAGCGTGCTTGGCTCACACGCACCCACAGCGTGCTTGGCCCACACGCACCCACACTCACCCACAGCGTGCTTGGCCCCACACGCACCCACAGCGTGCTTGGCTCACACGCACCCACAGCGTGCTTGGCTCACATGTACCCACAGCGTGCTTGGCCCCACACGTACCCACAGCGTGCTTGGCGTCCCGCATGGGCGGCCCGGGCGGCACCTGGGGAGGCTCGATGGTGAAGAGGCTGCCGCTGGGTGGCGAGGGTTCTTCCGAGCTGCTGGGGGTGTGGGGGGCCTCTCCCGTGGGCGACGGGAACAGCAACAGCTTCTGCCCCTTCAGGTTGAGCCGGGCGGGGCTGATGAGAGGCCTGCGGTGGCGCAGGGAGCCAGAGCTGGAGTCCACGGAGCTGGCCACGGAAGGTGCTGGGGAGGGGAGCGGGGAGGAGGGGAGGCTCCCAGACAGCAAGAAGTAATCTGCAGAGGGAGGACAACAGAGCCAGCCATGCCACTGTGCCTGGGGGATGTGCCGTTGTCATGGTGATGCCTGCCTCCTGCCCAGTTGGTCCCGCGGCTTCTCACTCCTGACCCAGGAAGAAAGGAGGCGGCAGACAGGGCAGTGGAGGCCTCTGGGACACCCCACCAGGCACCAAGGAGGGGGACAGAGGTCACACAGACTTAGACACAAGCTGCACAGCTCTCTCGCTGAGCATGGGGGATGGAGTCTGGGGTCCCCACTTTACACCAGAGGAAACTGAGGCATAGGTATGTTCATCTCTTGCCTAGGGCTGAGGTTTGACTACAGAGTCACGCTTGAACACTATTCTAGAAACTCTGGGCCTTGCCCCCCTGGCCAAGCAGATTTCTGGTCCCACTTCCTAGCTTTTGTTGTCCTTACCTGAAAGGGGAACCTCTCCGTGTGGAGACACCTGAGATGGGGGGCGGCTGCCGCTGAACAGGTACCCTGAGTCTGGCAGAGAGGGAAACACAGCACGGGTTAGGCCTGAGGGCTGTGAGCCTCACAGCCTCCAATCTCCAACCTCCCCGCCCCCAGCCCCACGTTCTGCCAAAACCTACTCTGTGTGCTCTCACCAACACTGGTTCCCGAGGTACATGGAGCACATGGCCATTTGGTAAAGAAACCGGAACTCTAGTGGATCATAGCAAGTCAGCAGCGGTCCAGGTCTAAACCTGGTGTTCTGCATTTTTTTGTTTGTTGTGGGGCTTGAACTCAGGGCTTAGGCGCTGTCCCTGAGCTGTTTTGCGCAAAGCTAGGACTCTACCATTTCAAGCCACAACTCTACTTCCAGTTTTCTGGTGGTTAATTGAGGATAACTGGAGAATCTCACAGACTCTGCACTCCAGGCTGGCTTTGAACTGCAATCCTCAGATCTCAGGCTCACGAGTAGCTAGGATCACAGGTATGAGCCACCAGCACTTGGCTTCAATGTCTTTCTCTTCACACCAGCCTCCACCTTGGCTATCAACAGCTCTGGTCCCGAGAGTTGAGAGTAGAGCTTAGTGGTAGAGTGCTTGCCTAGCATGCATGAAGCTCTCGGTTCGATTCCTCAGTATTCCATACACAGAGAAAGCTGGAAGTAGAGCTGTGGCTCAAGTGGTAGAGCACTAGCCTTGATCGAAAGCAGCTCAGGAACAGAGCCCAGGCCCTGAGTTCCAGCCCCAGGACTTGCAAAAAAAAAAAAAAAAAAAACAAAAAAAAAAAACGAGAGAGCGAGGCTGAGCGCAGTTAAGGCCGCTGTTGAGTGGGCTTGCATAGGTCTCAGCCCAGCAGAGGCCGTCCACAGGAGACGCTCTAGCCACTCGTTGAAACTTCCCTATCCCGTCCTCACCTGAGGCTACCAAGGCCCGAGCAGATGGCTCCTACCTGTTCGGGTCAGAGAGGGAATGGTTCCCAGCGAGAGGGCCCGGCTGAGCCGGCCTGGCAGTGAGGAGGGGGAGGCCCGGCGGGGAGACCGGAACAGCTGCTGGCCGGCCAGCGGCAGGAAGCCAGGCGGGGTGGGGATGAACAGGGACGGCGAGGAACCCGTGGTGCTTGAGTAAGACACAGCCAGGCGGGGACTGGAGGGGAAGAGGCCAGCGGAGTCTCCCGGGAAGCACCTGCAAGAGCCCATGGGGCATGGAGAGAGGAAGAGGGTGAGTGCGGAAGGTTCTGGAAGCAGTTTCTGCACAGTGGGGCCCCTTCCTTCCCGAGGTGTGAGCCGGGCCTCAGTCAGGGTCCCGGGGGTGGGGGGTGGGGGGAGGGGCGTGCGTTAGTTGGAGCAGAAAAGCAGTCATCCATTCTCCCCGTTAGGAGCGGGTGGCTGGGAGGCGCGGCGCGGCCCACCGCACCTGCATGCCCCTCGCGCACAGCAAACCACTTCCACTCTGTGTCTCAGCATTAAAGTGACACTGCCACCTCTGCCACCCCTTCTCACCCTGAAGCCAGCACACCCAGTGTCCCATGCTGTACACGCCAAGCTTAGTGGACTCAGGCTTTGTCTGGAAACTTCTTGTTGCATGTCCAGAATCTTCCAACCAAGCTGCTGAGCTCAGAACCCCCCGGTTCTCCCAAGCTAGTTGGGACTTGAGGAGGCCGCAGCGGAGCTCTGAGGCTCCCCCAGTGCTGTGTCTCGGAACACAGTCACCAGCTCTCCGGTCTTGGATAACTTATCTCAAGCCCCCTTCAGTGTACAGATGGGGAGGTGCCCGGCAGGGCTACCATGGGTACACACCAAACTCTACACTTAGATAGGACCCCGACGACCGCAAGGATGCCCGAAGACAGAAGGGGACAGTGTCGCTTTAACTTGAGAATGGTACAAATCACACAACTAGGACCCAATGACCCCAGGCCACAATACCAACCATGCTTCCAATTAAGGCACCTGATTACAGAGGGGCGGAGGGGCAGAGGCAGTTAATGCATTAGTCTGCCATCTGGAAGGAGTTTCTGGCGTCCAGCCTTACCTCGGTCCCAAGGGACACATGAGCCCAGCAGACAAAAGTGCAGACAGATGGGCGGGCAGGCTCAGGCCCCGTGGCGTGAGATGGGGGAAGACACCCCTGCTGTGAAGGCCAAGGGCTGGGAGGGGGAGGACCGCTAGCCTACCATGCACCACAGCATCCCAGTGCCATCTCCCACCCAGTCTTATAAGGAAGGAATGTAGCCAGCTGTTCACTTCCAAGGGAACCACTGGGTCATTCCCATTTCTTGCAAAGAGCCGGCTCAACTGGACTTTAGAACCAAAGGCAGGCCCAGGGTTTGGGCAACATGGAAGTCAAGGCAGAGCAAAGTGAAGAGGGGCCTGGATGCACACTGGCTTTGACTCTGACCCGCCTTTCAAGTCTGTCTGATGCCCATCACCCCCATCAGACGGGACGATTCTCCCTCTGTCTAAAGGAAAAAGCAGCCAGGTGCGGGGAGCTCGTGCCTGTAATCCTATCTCCTCCGGAGACTGAGATCTGAGAATCTTTTTCAAAGCCAGCCTGGGCAGAAAAGTCTGTGAGCCTCTTCTCTCCAATTAACCAGCAAAAACCGGAAGTAGAGGTGTGGCCTAAGTGGTAGAGCTCCAACCCTGAGCCTAAAAGACAAGTGAGGGAGGCCTGAGTAGAAGCCGCACTACTGGTAAACACACATCCATGGGGGGGGGGGGGGGGGGGGGAAGGGCGGAGTTTATGTTCTCCTTTTAGGATTGCAATACCACTGGGGAGCGTGGTCGGGAGGGGAAGGACTTTCAGGCACTGCAGCTGGAACCAGGAAGTCTCTTGCTTGATCACGGGTGAGCCCCTATGGGAGGAAAGTGGGTCCCGGGGGAGCAGCCTGAAAGCGGCAGGTGTGGGCCTTGGAGCAGCGCAAGCTCAGGCTCTTCCAGCAGGTGGCAGCAGGACTCTGCGCTGGGCTCCGGTCAGGCCAGGAGCCAGCCAATAGCCACCCTAGAGCAGGCAGCGCCCCCAAGGACAGGCGAGCATTTCTGGAAGCGCGAGGAGAGGGTCCTGGCAGGGCCATGGATTTCAGAGGCAGCACCGGGTCAGCACCGGAAGCAACGGCAGGCTTTGGGCAGCACATCTCCAGTTCCCCAGCTTCAGCTCAGACCCAAGGCCACCCTGGGGTCAAATCTGAGATAATCCGTATGTCTGGCCTGGGAGGCTGTTCCCAATCTTGGTGCCACTAAAAAAGCTGGCAGGTGAGGTCCCTGGAGGCCTGCCCTCTTGGGCTGTGATGCGTAGCACCCCAGGCGGGAGCTGTGTGGGGGCTCAGCCTGGCTCTGGCTGTTACCGCACCCCCAGCGCTGCCAAGAGCTGCCAAGGTACCAAGGTTTTAGTTGAGGCCCAGGGGCCAAGTCTGCGTCCTCAGAACCACCTTGGCCAGTGACTGCGGAGAGAGCTCGACCCCCCCGCGGGGGCCGAGTGTTCTCAGCCTTACCGAGGTAGGAAGGGGGCGATGCGATGTGGGAAAGATGAGGAGAGGGACCCTGAGATGACCATCTCTAGCCCACGCGTGCTCAACCCCACTCAGACTTCGGTGCACATGCTAGCACCCCAAACAAAGCTCCCTCCCACCCTCCTGGCCCTGACCAAGAAGCCCTTCTCAAGAAACGTGGAAGAAAAGAGAAAAAAGACGTGATACCTGAAGCCCCCCGGAAAAAGCAGAGCCCGGAAGGCATTTATTGAAAACACAGCATTCAAAACATGATGTCTAGGGCCAGTGTGGTTACAGCGATCAGGGGTCTACACAGTCATCCACAGTTCTACTACAAGAGACAGTCGAGACTCGGCGGCTGCAGACACGGGGCAGGCCCCTTCCCCGCGGGACAGGCATGGCTGGCTGGGGGATGGAGGTGGTCCTGGAGGTGGGTCTGGGATGAGGACCCCAAATATCCAGAGGGTGAAACAGGACTGACTCCCTATCTCAAGGATGGCCACCCTGTACCTGGGATGAACCTGTGCTCCCCAGGGGATGACGACTGTCCCCAGTCCATGAGCCACAACCCATAGTTGCTAGATGCCCTCAAAGGAACAAAACTCTTAAGGGGCAGACTAATGTTTAAAAATAAGGTCACACAAAACTCTAAAAAGGCCAGGAATCCCCACCCTATAGATCTCTCCATACCACCAGAGCCAGAGTGATGCTGAGCAGGAGATCCTGGCCAGCCAGAGCTGGCTCTGCTTAGCATAAATAATTCACACACACACACACACACACACACACACACACACACACACACACACACCCCTAAAAAATGCCAAGAACACAACAATTAGCATTGCACTGTCAGTCTCCTTGAGAAGAGGACATCACGACTCAGGTGAGAGTATGCCCACCAGCAGACCTGGCCCCTGCTACCTCCTTTTCCCTCTTGGGTCGTTTCTTGGGGTAAAAGGTCAGGCAGAGGTGCCCCAGACCCCCAGGCAGTTGCAGCTCATTCACCCCTCACTGCTGAGCCAGCAGGACCTTGGCCTCACCTACCTATCTTTGGAGGGGCTCTCCACTTCATGTTCTGCCTGTACCCCACAACACACTGAGCCCCGCAAGGCTGGGGCCTTGTCTAAAGAAGTCACACAGCTCACTGGGCAGAGGCTGGTGTGACAATTAACTCCTTCCCCCTCCCCCCCCATCTCACAGGAGGCCGGGCTGACCTTTTGGACTCTCAAACACAGCAGGGCAGGGTGCGGCCGGCCACTTCGCACCTGCTCCTCTACCTGCCACACCTGGGCAGCTAGCGCTCCTTTGCTGGGTATGACCTCACACACGCATAACCTGCTTTCTCCCCCTTGGGAGGATGCTGAGGCAAAGGCTCAGGCCAGACCAGGTCACACTTGGCCCATGCTGAGGGGCACGGGAAGGACATGACCTGCAGGCAGGGCACAACTCACACAGGGACCGTCAGAGGGTATCGTGCACCCCAGCTGGTCTTGAACTGCTCCCAGGTGAGCATGTCCTCTACATGCGACATCCCCCTAATCCTAAGCTCATCCCACAGCCTCTGAGCACCCTGGGGCCTGGAGGGGCCCGCCTGTCACTCTGCACAGCTAACCAGAGCTGGAACAGCTGGGTCTCACCGGGCCACAGCCGGAGAGGGCCAGCTCTTCCCTAAGGGTAGTGACCTGTCGGGGGTGGCAGCCCTGTGTCAGAGGGGAGGCAAGCTGAGGCCATGTGACGGAGAGGGACAAATGACAATGAACTGGTATCACCGAGGCCTGAGTGCCTCACCTGAACAGAATCTGGGTCATCTGAGCTATTCCCGGGCACACGGGGGCAGGGCCAGGACAGCCCTCAAGTCCTGCCCTTGCTAGCTAGGGAAAGATGGCTAGGGACCAAGCTCAAAACCCCCAGGTCCGAGGGCATAAGGGAGTGCCCAGCTGCCAGGGTAAGGGGTAAGGGGAGGCCTTGGAAGTCCATCTGGCTTGCTGGAGGAGGGATATCCCCAGCGGGGCCACCTCCACGGTTTGGAACTGAGGGATCAGGTGGCCTCGGGGCCATCGTAGGCCAGGAAGCTGCTGGTGGGCTCCAAGCAGGGGCAGAGCAGGTGAGAGGAACTATGTGGGATGAGGGTCGGCGCTATTCTGGCGCTTGCTCACCCTGCTGAGCTGGACTGCCAATGCCAAGCAGCCCGAACGTCAGGCCAGGTGACAGTGGCTCACACCCTCCCCCTCCCTCTGTGGCACCAGAGCCAGCCATGAGCCGTGGCCAAGACAGGGAGCCTTGAGCCAGTGGGGAGCCAGGGTGCTGCCCCCACAGTCCCAGGCCTGCCAGGTGGGCTGTCTCAGGCCAGAGGCAGCAGCAGTGGCAAGCAGCTACAGGTCACTAGGGCACTAGGGGAGCACCTCAGGCTGGGGGGGCGGGGGGAGCAGTTTGGGGGTACTGGGAAAGGCAAGGAGGGCAGTGGAGGAGCTGGGCCAGAACCCAAGGCTTGAGGCTGAGGGGTGGGTGTGAGGCAGGTTAAAGAGACAAAACCAGTAAGTGCCTGTTCCAGGTGGGGGGGCCATGCCCTGGGCCTGTCTGTCCGTCTGTCTGTCCATCTGTCTGTCCTCCCCCCGCAGTCACTGCTGCTTCTCTGACCTTCGGGGCCGGAACCTCCTGGGGCCTGCTGCCTTCTTTGTAGCCACAGCCGCGGTGAAGCCCACCAGGCAGCACAGGGACGTGGTGCTGAACTTGAGCGTGTCCAGCCAGCTGGGGGCGGCTGCCTGCAGGTACTGCCCAGCCAGGTGCAGCCCCAGCAGCAGGGCCCACAGGCAGGTGGCGAAAGCGTCAATTCTTCTGAGCCTGGTGGAGATAGGAGCAGGGGTGAGTGCCCGGAGGCATATGGGATCCCTCCCCTACTTCCAGTCTTGTCCATCTATACCTGGACCTGCTCAGGGGACGGGGACTACATCTCTCCTCCAACTCACTCTGCCCAGCTCTAAGCCTGTCAGTGCTTCTCCTAAGCATAGCTCCCTCAGGAGGTGTGGAACATGGGCACAACTCTCCTAGAGATCCTGCTACTGCTCGTAGAAGGAAGCAAGTCCAGAGCCTGCCCTTCCTCGCCTCCATGGCCCAGGGCAGGCGGCTCCCATCACCCTGACCCTGCAAACAACCGCCCAGCTGCAGAGGGCAAGGGGTGGGCTGGCTAAGGGCCACAGCCCTCTCTCAGGCAAACTCCTGGCCCTTAGAGGACAGGGACTTGTCTTGCCCAGGGCTCCACACCAGCCAGGCCTCTGGGCCTTGGTCACAGCATGCAGACCCCTAGCCACGCGTGCCCACAGCCCCACATGTACCTGATCCGGCCGGCCAGCAGCATAGCCAGCAGGCAGGTGAGCAGGCCCAGCACCACGATGCCCACCTGGTGGCTCTGCCCAAAGGCCCAGGCCTCGAGTAGCTTGTCGGCCATGTGCTCCGGCAGCAGGCCCAGCAGCTGCCGCCAACCCTCAGACTCAGTGGCAGAGCTGTTATCTGGCACAGCTGAGCCATTGCCACCAGGGGGCAGAGCCGGAGGCAGGGCAGCCCCTGGGGTAAAGGGATCGCTGGGGCCATACAGTGCAAGGGTCAGCAGGAAGGCGCAGGTCAGGAAGGCCAAGGCCCGGAGCAGGATGACCTGGATTGGGGCTTTCATCATGGACGAAGAGAAGCTCTGAGAGGGTGGGAAAAACACAAGTCAGAGATGCCAGAACCCACAGCCATCGGCACCCCCATGTAAGGGTGCCTGCCACCCCGGCCCAGATGCTCCCACGCACCCAGTTTCATGCCCCTTGGCTCTGGCCTCGGGCTCACCACTGCCCCACCAGCTGGTCTCACTTCCAGACCATCACCCCATTCATCCCATGAGACAGTTCTGTGTAGGGATGAATACCACTCCTCTACGCTCACCTCCTTTTAAAGAAATCTTTCCAGCAGGGCACTGGTGGCTCACACCTGTGATCCCAGCTACTCAGGGGGCTGAGACCCAAGGACTGAGAAACAAAGCCAGCCCAGGCAGAAAAAGTCTATGACACTCTTTCTCCAACTAACCAACAAAAAGCTGGAAATAGAGATGTGGTTCAAGTGGCAGAGTGCCAAGCTTCAGCATACACACACACAAATCTTTTCCAAATTAGTGATATCATTCTTCCAAGTAAGAGTATCATTTTTGTCATGTTCTCACACAAAAAAAATCCTTTTTATGTGTTAAACTAATATTGCAATAACCAGGCAGATAACTCTGGCAGAAGTTAAAAAACAGTAGCAAGTTATGAAATCTAGGAACCAGGAGGTTAGAATGAGAAGCAAGGGCGTGAGGACAAGGTCCCCAGAGGCTGCGGCGTGGACACAGGAGTAGAGGGGTGGTGTGTGGGGGGGTCTAGGGTACATCCTAGGACATAAGGAGTAAGGCGTTCCCTTGGGGGATGGTTTACTCCTAAGTCTACTTGCTATTACGTCTGATTTTTATTTCTTTCTGTGGTGTTGGGGATTTATCCCAGAGCTTTGCATATGCTAGGCACATGTTCTACTTCTGAGCTACACTGCTGGCCTCTGATCTTTTATTAAAAAGCAAAAACAAACAAATTAAAAAAAAAAAACCCAGCTGAGTGTGGGTGGCTCATGCCTGTAATCCTAGCTACTCAGGAAACGGAGGTCTCTGCAGATTGTGGTTCAAAGCCAGCTCCAGAAAAGTCCCTGAGACTTTTATCTCCAATTAATGACCAGGAAACTGGAAGTGGCACTGTGGCTCAAAGTGGTAGAGCACTAGCCTTCAGCAAAAGACCTCTGGCCCTTAGTTTAAGCCACAGGACTGACCAAAAATAAAACAACAACCACCCCTCCCCCACCCCAAGATATTCCATTCAATACTGTGATAAAAAACAAATGCTTTTAGCCAGACATTTCTGGATCTAAACCCCAGCACTGGCGGGGCCCAAGTGTGGTCCCATGTGAGTTTCTCAGCTATACACGGGAGTCACAGTGCCAGTAACCCATGAATTGGTCCCAGGGCAAACACCACTGAGGGGCAGCAGGGCGACCCCTAAGCCTATGCTCAGACATATACTGCAAACGTATCACAGTCCTGGCCACTGGCCCTCGCTGGTGGTACAAAGGAGGCTGGGTGGGGGGGGGGGGGGGGGGGGAGGTTGTTTCCTCAAGAAGGGGGTCTCAGCTCTCAAGAGTTGCTATCTAGTCACTGCGCCCTAGCCTTCTAGGAAGTTTCCCATGGGTACACTGGCCAAACACGCACGGACGCTGGCCTCAGACCTGCATGTGGGCCTGGTCAGCCTCCCGGCGCCTGAACTGGTGGCTGAGCAGCAGGGCACGCAGCTGGCGGTTCTGGTGCTTGAGGTAGTACTCCACTGCGGCCTGGCACGGCCGGCACAGCTTGTACATCTGCTCCAGGTGGTGGCGGTACACCTCGATCTCCTCGTCGTACTTGCCCTGTGGTGGGGGACAGGGGCTCCATGTCAGTGGGAACCCGAGCTCCCTGTTTTACAGGGGACCTGGATTCACTCCACTTACAAGGCCCCACTGAGCTACTTCCCCTTGCCACCGTGAATGGTGGTGAAGGCCCTGAGGAGGAGGCCAGGACAGGCCTGGGACTTGCAGGTGGCGACACGTACCAAGTCCCAGTGCTCTAAGGCCATTGCTCTGGTTCAGGGCTCCTGACAGGCAGGTAAACTATATGAGGTTCTCTTGGCTGATGCTGCCTGAACCCAGGCAGAGAGACAATGCAGGGCCATGGCCTGCCCTTCTCCTTGGGTCCCAGGATCTAAACAACTCTAAGGGAGTTTGAGCCTGAGTGGGAGCTGAAGAATTCTTTGGCTTGTGGAATGACTTAGAGGCAGCACCGCACCTCCAGCATTTCAGTCTCTAGTGACAGCAATGGCTTCATGTGATCTCATGGAACAACTGGACTAGAAAAGCCGCCTGGTGTGTAGCCCACCTCCTTTCCCTCTTGGCTTAAGTTCATCCATCCCTCTCTCCTTACAGTTTGGAGCAGTAGCACAGGGCCTCATCTGGGTAAGGCAGGCAGGGGAGAAGGCAGGTAACAGGGCTCCTGGACCCCTGAACTCCAGCTCAGCCCAGCTCCTAGCTGGACTCACTCTCAGCAGACCTGGCTCAGCGCAGTAAGAACTGCATGGACCCTACAGGTGCACAACAAAGCCTTGGCACAGGGACAAGCCTACTGGCCCAATGAGCCTGGAGTTTCCATGGTGTTCCTAGGCCAGAACCCAGACGGCTACCCAAGATCCAGGGAGACCAGAAGCCTTAGCTCTAACGGGGAAGGAAGAAGCCTCATATCCAGGAATGTGGGGCCATCTAGAGGTCGGGGTGATGGCATCAGACTGCTGGCTAGCTGCCATGTCCACTTACCTCCTCCCTTGGTGAGAAGGCGGCCAGCTGCTTGATTTTGGTAGTCTGGTGGTGGCTACACCTTCGGCACAGCAGAACCTGGCTGCTCACCCACTGCTGTGGCTGTGCAGGGTCTCGGGGGCTGGGCACACTGCTCACCCCGTGGTTTAAGTGCTCCATGTACTGGGCGGGGATCGGCTTGTTATAGTCTCCATTCTAGGAGAAATGGGGACTGGTTGGCAGGCAGCTCCTTCCCAGGGGGCTTTTCGGGGCCTTCTGGACAGCACCCCGATATCCTTACACGGGATAGTGGCCTTTCCGCTGCAGCCTCACTTGGAACCCACTGAGAATGAAGCCCCCCCTGATCTGTGGCTGGGCAGGGCCGGGCCTGGCTTCCTCCCTCAGCACCCTGGGGCTCTCTCATAACTGTCTGAGCCAGCGCTTGCGAGCGGGCTGCCTGGCTCATAGCCTTTAATTGGCAAGCAGCCACATGCCTTCCGCTGCACCTGTCTTTCAAGGCAGGGCAGGTGGGTGGCTGGACAGACCACATTGCCTAGTAAAAGCCGATGCATACCACCGCAGGCTGCAGAGCTGCACGGATCTGGGCTTGTGCCACTGTCTGCCACATGTGGGGAGGAGACCCGGGACAAGTGACCACAGTTCCCATCACCAATCCTCCTCCACAGCCCACAGTGGGAATCCAGCCATAGGGTGTATGCAAGTGGTCTGTTTAGGGCTGGACACAGGGGATGTGGGTCAGGGATGACCCCAAGGTAGTAGCTCCATAGCCACAGCCCACCCTGGCCACCCACACCTCCTGGGAGCCCCAGCCTGCCCTGCCCACCCGCCTGCACCTCCTGGAAGCCGTTGTACTGCTCGCAGTGGGGGCAGTCCCAGCAGTTGCGGTTGCCATAGGGCACCAGTGTGTCCTGGTTGCAAAACCAGCAGTTGACCACCGTGTGCGTGGGCTTCACCCTGTGGATGGAGGAAGGAGGAATCAGGAGGGAAGACCTCAACCCCTGAGGATTTCAACCCCTCCCCCTCCCCAGCCCTAGCCCAAGGGGAAGGGTGCCAGAAGCAGGATCCATGTCCTGGAGCAGGCCCACAAAGGCAGGAAGCTGTGGGTCAAGGAGGGGAAGCTGGGCTGGGCGCTGCTGTCCATCCAGCAGGACCACGCAGGAGGCCCCAGGGGCCGGCTGGAGGCTCACAGCTCTGGAAGCCCCAGGGTGTGCATGTAGGGGGACTCCCCCACCCCCACCGCCCAGGTCCTCAGGTCCTGGGCCAGACATGGGGGGTGGGGGGTGGGAACAGGGCCTAAGCTCAGGACGGTCCCCCTCCCCCTCCGGCTGCGGAAATGGCGTTCTCCAGGGAGATTCCAGAGTGAAAGAGCCAGAGAAGCCCAGTGGCAGGGACGAGTGGCAGCTGGGTGGCCAGCCGCGCCTTCCTGGTGAGGGGATGGAGACACGCACACATGGGGCTTGCTGGCCACACGTGCGGTGGCAGGTGGAGGCTTCTGGGTAATCCTCACCCAGACACTGGGGGATCTGCGCTCCGGGGCTCCTCCATCTACCCCATTGGCTGTGGGGTATGGGAGCGGGGAGGCACTAGTCCCTACACAATACAGTCCCTAGAAACTATACAGACAGAAGAGCAGCAGCTGCAGAGCTCTGGGGCTTGACCTTGCCACTCCTGCACCTTCTTCCCCAAAGCCCCCTCCAGCTGCGGAGGACTCGAGCGTGGACAGTGACAACCATACACAGATGGGCCTGTGGCTCAGACAGCATGCCTTTAGGCACATGCCTGTGTGTGCGTGTGTGTGTGCGTGCATGTGTGTTGGTCCTAGAACCTGAACTCAGGGCCTGGGCACTGTTCCTGAGATTTTTTTTTACTCAAGGTTGGTGCTCTACCACTTGAGCCACAGCTCCACTTGTGGGTTTTTTTGATTTGTCCACTGGGCTGGTTCTGAACTGAGATCTTCAGATCTCAGCCTCTTGAATAGCAAGGATTTTGGGCATATCAATGTCCTGCCCCTTTGGCATTTTCCTCCTGAAAGGGGAGGAGGAGGCACTGACTCTATGCTGACTTGCAGACATGCCCTGGAGCTCTCATGGGCTAAGCCTCGGTGCCTCTGTGCCTCCTCTGTGTAAGGGGAGCACCCCAGCACCCACTGGTTCTGTATGCTGCAGGATGCAAGCACGTAAGACACAGAGCTGAAAGGGCCAGCTCTGCGCTGCCCTGGCTGGCACGTGTGTGTGTGTGTGGGGGGGGGTGCTGGGGAGTGAAGCAGGACTCTGGCCTCAAGCACTGACAAGTGGCCACCACGTCCTGAAGGCAGCACGCGGCTCAGAGGGGCCCTGTGCTCATGGATGTGGCCTCTAGAGAGGGTTGCCCCTATTCTGGGGCTTCCATTTCATCGCCCCACTTATCAAAGTGGGGCCCGGAGAGCTCCTGTCCCTGTCTCTTGTTGGGACTCAACAAAAGAATGCAGGGGAGTACTGAGCCTGGTGCAGCCAGCACCCAGCAGCAGCTTCACTCCTCCGGCAATGGAAGCAGCTAGGCTGCTCCAGCTTAGAAACCTGCTCTGCTGTGTGGCCCACAGTTGGCATTCCTGCAGCAATTAAGCAGCTACTCTTTGTTAATTTGTATCTCTTTATAGGCCTCTTTGTAATTGTGCAAGGGGGAGGGAAGATCCTCAAGGCTGGAACCAGGCAGGCAGTGGGACCTGTCCCATCTGCCTTTGGGTGCCGGCCCCTCAGCCCTGGTCTGGGTGAAAGGCAAGGCCCTTGTCTGCCCTGAGGGACCAATGGTCAGGTGCGCACGGCCCCTCCTGTGCTAGACAGCTGACGTTTCCGTTCTCCAGCTCCGTTGCTAAGGAAATAATGGCTCTGGGCCTCTAGAAGCGCCTTGCCTGGAAGCGGAAGGTCGGGGACAGTCCCCCCTCCTAGGCCTTCTGCCAGGGGTTGGGGTAGGGAGTTCTCTCAGGGCCAGAGCACCTGCAGCCCACTCTGGCCAGGCTGGGTCACCATACCAGCAGTCGTTTCCTTCAGCATGGCCCCAAAGGAGCCACCTGCAACAGGCAAATGACTGGCATCTCGGGTCCCCACACCAGCCTGCCCCCTTCCAGGCCTCACAAATCAGACTAGTAGATGGACAGGCCCCTCTTAACAGCTGGCCACACAGTCCCCAAGGCGGGCCGGGGCAGCCGTGGCTCTGGGACGAGCCCCGCTGAGGGCAAGGTTGAGATGGTGACATAGAAGGGAATGTGCTCTCCTGCTCTGGCACCGGCCCAGGCCATGTCCCCCAGCCGGCTGTCTTCTGAGGTAGACTGGGGTCCCCTGGGTGGGCATGGAAGCCACTCTTCCAGCTCCTGTGGGCCTGCTGCTGGCCTCCGGGAGTGAGGAAGCCAGGGTGGGTGGCGCCTTACAGAAGGCCAGGGGCAGCTGCAACGCGTGTCCAGCCCTCCACCAGCCCGCAGCTGAGTACACACACACCATGTGCCTCTGGCGACCCACCAGCCCCAAACCCAGGCATTGAATTCTACAACAGCTTGTTGTTGGCACAGGCAGGGATATGTTCTGGAGTGGGCAACCACTCGAGTTCCTCAGTCCAAAGAGTGCTGAGGGAATGTGCTGTGCCATCCCGAAAGGATAACAACAGGGCTTGGTCACCCTCCTGGGGAGGCTCCAAGTCTGGGGGCCACTGAGTGCTCACCAGTCCTGGAGACGTGCCTCGCCTTCCCCAGGGGCCTGCCAGATAAGAGACATTAGACAGGCTGGGTTTCTTCAGGGGCAGGGAACGCTCAGCCTCATAGGGGAGCCTGACTCCTGGGAGGGGCCCAGGGAGGCCTCGCCCCCACTTCCAGGGCAGGGGACACTGACCACTGCTAGGATCTGAGGGACCTCTGGGCCTCCTGCTTGGTCTCAAAACACAATACACTGAAGTCTACAGCCACGCTACCAACACTAAGACCGAAACCCTAAAATCTGCTCCTCCACCTCTGTTCACTGAGTACCACACCAGGCTAGCAGAGACGGACTGGTGAGCAAAACAGAGCTAGACAGCAAGACAAGGCAACTGACAGGGCAGCTGGTGTCACATGCCACAGAATGACGGCCAACATGCAGGGCACGAAAGATGGGTGCACTCAGAGCAAGCAGAGGAAGCAGCACCCACTCAGGACAGCCCAGCTTTTAAAGGGCCTGCTGCTGGGACTCTGTCAGGACAAGCAATGACAGACAATCCCTACAAACACCACTGGAAGCTACCACCTGTCCAAACAGGGCGGCGAGTAGCTAGGATTATAGGTGTGAGCCACTGGCACTGGGCTCCATGATACTCCTATCTCCAATTATCCACCAAAAAGCCAGAAGTGGAGCTGTGGCTCAAGTGGTAGAGCCCTAGCCTTGAGGAGGAAAAGAAAAAGCTCAGGGACAGTGCCCAGGCCCTGAGTTCAAGTTCCAGGAGCGGCACACACACACTAACACACACACACCAAAAACCAAAACAACCAAACAACAATAACAACAACAAACCATGGCAAGAGGACACCATGGGTGGGAAAGCTAGGTTCCGGTTAGCCCAACTGAAGGTCTGGAAGCAACTGCTTCCTGATCACCTTGGCCAGTCTGAAAGCACAGATGGGCTGGCCTGAGTGTCAAGGGGGGCACTGCTCCTGCATTCCTCCTCAAGGCCACCACTCTGTCCTCTGCCATCTCTGCGTACTAATAACCCTACCACAGATGTGTGCTAAGATGACCTCTTCCCAAACCAAGTCTCCTTGCACGCCCACCCCAGGGTCATTCAAACCCCCCACTACAGCTGGTTAGACCCAAACTCCTCCACCGTGACTTACATACCCATGGAGGAGCGTGGGAGAAGAGCATGCCTCTTACTGGGCTGGTCTTACTTCAGAGCTAGGACAGTGGTAAACTGTTACCATCTCCAGATGAAATCCAGTACTCATGAGAACATCCTTCTGTGCCCAACCAACGGCAGCAGTCCCAAGTGTACATCTCCACCTACTAGTGTTGTCCAGGGCCATGAAAAAGTCTTTTGGGCACCCTTGTAGCTTTCCTGCAACAGTTCATCCAGCACCTTACCAAAGTTCCAGATTTCTGTGGCTGGCAGGAGAGACACCACCAGGTTACAACTGTAATCCTAGCTACTCAGGGAGCTGAGATTTGAGGGTTGAGGTTCAAAGCCAGCCCAGGCAGAAAAGTCCATGAGGCACTTATCTCCAATTAACCACCAAAGAGCTGGAAGTGGAGCTGTAGTTCAAGTGGTAGAGTGCCAGCCTTGAGTTAAAAAAAAAAAAAAAAGAAAAAGCTAAGGGACAGAGCCCAGGCCCTGAGTTCAAGCCCCAATACTGGCAGAAAGAGAGGGGAAAAGGTGGAGGGGGGGAGAGAAAAAGAGAAGGGAAGGGAAGGGAAGGGAAGGGAAGGGAAGGGAAGGGAAGGGAAGGGAAGGGAAGGGAAGGGAAGGGAAGGGAAAGGGGAAGGGGAAGGGGAAGGGAAGAGATAAATCAGATGCTTGGGCAGAGTTGTAGTACAAGGCACAAGACAGCAAGGCAAGCCCATCAGGGGTCGGCTGAGAGGCACTGCCAGTCCGCGAGGAGGCAGGGTTCTGGACCAGCTCTGCTATTCATGTCTCTGGGGATCTGAGCACACTGCCACAGCTCCTTCAGAGATAAAACGATCAATTTGACAGCTGGTCTTGCAGGACCCCCGTGCTCCATAAACTGGGTGGGAATGGGATATGTGGCTTGTTAGAGCCAGGGACTCCTTTGCTTTCCACGGGGGAGGTGGCCCCTCCTCCAGATGCAGCTGACATCCCTTCTATTCTTCCCTCCTGGGGAGGCTTGGGTGACTCAACCACCCCCATTCCTTTTGCCTGCTTCTCTCTTAAGAAGGAGGCAGCTTTAGAAAGACTGGTCAGCCACGTTGCTTAGGTTCAGCAGCTCCACTGCTTATTGCCAAGGGACTGTGAGCGGATGCCTTTACTCCTTAACCCAAGAGACCTGGGCTTCACATGTCCCTTGTTGTCCCCTGGATGTTCTCGAAAACTCGTTCTCTCTGCCTCCGAGGAGGGAGGTTCAGCTGTCCGTTACACTCCGCTCAACAAGAGGTGGGCCTGTCCAGGGAGGCCGGTGGGCGAGGCCAGCTCTGAAAGCCGGGCTGCAGGTTATCCCGGAGCCCTGGCAGAGCGGAAGCACAGAAGCCTGAGCCCATCTTGGACGCCTTGAAGTAGACCTGCTTTCCCTACCTCCGGGAAGCCATCCAGCTAGGGGAAGGGCGGGGGGAGGGGAGGCAGGCGTGCTGTAGCTCAAACGTGATTCGAATAGCAATTTACTATTTACCTAGCTGCAAGGGAGCGCACAGGGTGCTTCGGAAACGCCCCCGGTGAGGAGCGCGCGGCGTGCAGAGCAGCAAGTGTCAGCTGTAATCACCATCGGACGAGCTGCCCGGGCTCGGGGCTCGGGGCCCAAGGCAGGACCGCCAGGGGGCAGCGGCGTCCGCCACCGAGCCCTGTGTGTGTGGGGGGGGGGGATCGCAGCCCGCGGCGGCCCCCGAGCAGGCCGCACCCCCCGCATTCTGATCTCCGGCCCCAGCCAAGCTCCACGGCCGCTTCCCGGACTCGGTTCCAAATTCGGCCTTTTCGGGGTGGGGCCGCAGAGCGGGTCTCGCGCGTCCGCTCGCTCGCGGGCCGGGTGGCCGCCCCGGGCCTCGGGGCCGGGCGGCGCGGGGCCGACGCGGGGGCGGGGCGGCGGGAGCCGCGTGGGGCCTCGGCCGCGCACTCACCTCCGCGCGATCCGGTAGAGCAGCACGCCGGCCGCGGCGCACGCCGTGACGCCCAGGCCGCCGGCCAGGCCGGCCGTGGGGCAGCTCGCCAGCAGCGCGCTCACTCCCTCCATGGCTCCCGCGCGGGTGGGCGACGGCGGCGGGCCGGGAAGGCCGGCCTCACGACACGAGCGGCCGCGCGCGCCAGCTCGCGCCTTGACCTTCGCTGCTTTGTAGCAGGCGCGGGCCCGCCCCTTGACTCGGCGCGCTCCCGCTGCCTAGCCAATCACGGCGCAGGGCGAGCTCCGGTGGGCGGGGCGCCGGCGGAAGCGTACGGCACTTGCCCTGGAGCGCCCCCTGACGGCCGGAGGAAGGCAGTGCGTCGAGCCGGGAAGAAGCCCCGCCCGCGCTTGCTTGCCCGCGCATGCGTCTGCCGCCTGAGCCCTGGACTTCAGCTTGATGGGGTCAGCTCGCGAGGGAAAGCAACCTGGACGTTCGCACCTGCTTGCCATTGTCCTTTGCTTGCATTTGCATTATCTTCCTGGCACCTAGCCAAACTAGCCTGTGAGTTCAGTTATTCTGCTGTTTTACTACAAGCTGAAGCTCCTGGAGCCACACAGGTTTAAAATTAGGTTGTACAATAACACAATTGCCCAACAATGGGGATGAGGTTAATAAATCACAGGACAGTCATGTTTTGGAGAGTGAAGAGGCCATTTAGAAAGTATGGCAGAGCTGGAGACAATACCTGTAGGGTAACACAGCCACACGCAGATGATTTGAATAGTTAGAGTAGAGCTTATGGATGTTTGTGGAAACAGAAGGTGGTTGATGCAAGGGAAAGCTAATTACCCAGGGGTGAGGGTGGCATTGGAAGATACATTTTATGGACATGTTTTAGCACTAATTTCAATTAAATTACTTTAAAAATGCTAGCTGGGCTGGTCATCCTAGTTAACTCAGGAGACTGAGATTATGAGGATCATGGTTGATTCAAAGCCAGCTGGGGCAGAAAAGTCTGTGAAACTCTTATCTCCAATAAACTACTCAGAAAAAGGCAGAAACGGTGCTGTGGCTCAAGTGGTAGAGCGCTAGACTTGAGCACAGAGCCTCAGGGACAATGCCCTGGCCCTGAGCTCAAGCTCCAGGACTGGCAAAAAAGAATGCTAATAGAAAATATTCATATCTAACTACACAACATTCCTGTGACCTCAGAACTTTGCCATTGTTTGAGATTAATACTAAGTTCTTTGGACAGTGTTGGGTGGCCATCTTGTTTGCTGTTGCCAGTTAATTGGTCTACGTCAGCGAGGTGTGTTCACTAAGCAGGAAGGGAGAACCACGGTGAGTGATGGGAACCAATGAGAGGACCTCTCTTGGCCCTACATGCCAGAGCAGAGGATTTTCCCTATTTATTTGGCAGCTTCCACCAGCCCAAAGCATAAAGATGGGTGAATGCCTGAACACCATGGGCTCACACTTGTAATCCTAGCTACTCAACAGGCTATGAGGATTATAGTTCAAAGCCAACCTGGGCAGAAGTCTGTGAGACTCTCACCCACAATTAACCATCAAAAGGCCAGAAGTGGAGGTGCAATTCAAGGAGTGGTAGAGCACCACCAGCTAAAGGACAGCACAGGCCCTTAGCTCAAGCCCCAGTATCACACCTACATACACACCCAAACCCATACAAAAAGAGTGATGTCCTAAAGTGCAGTGTCCACTAAAACTCGTGCCACTGTTTAGCATTATTCTCTTGCCAGGAAGATTTAGTATCATCTGCCTGTGTCCTAAAGGAGTCTAATCCATGGCCAACATATGCATCTAACAGTGCATCATCACTCATTTGTTCTGGTGCATCTTGATCACTGGCATCACTGTGGACTCGTGGACTTAGGTGAAGGTTTGCCCGACCTTGGCTTTGGAGCCAGAATATTCCTGCTTCAGTTTGGACCTAGCATCATGTCCTCCAAGGCCCAACTGTCAGAGTCTTGGTCTCCAGTCTGTGGGGCTATTGGCAGGTGGTGAACGCTTTTAAACCACAAGGCCTCATGGGGTCTTCCAGTTTGGAGAGCTAGGTCTTTGACTGGGACTGGGGAACACAGTCTCTTCTGCATAGGAGAGGGAAGAGCTTTACTCTATCACTTGCTCCTGACATGATGTGCTGCCTTTCCTCGGGCCTCCAAACAAGAAGCTGATGCTGGATAGAACTTGTGAGCCAAAATAAACCTCCCTGGTTTTGAAGTCAGTCATCTTAGGCATTAGCTACTTAACATATCTTGGGATCAGGACATTTCACAGACTCTAAGGCATGCAGGATCATATTCATTCATTCATTCATTCATTCAATAAGAAGGACAAGTCACTCTGGATCAGTTCCATACCTCCCATCTGCTTTACTGCTCATCATTATCATGCTACAATTAAATTTCTTTTTTTTGGAAGGGAGGTTGGTCGTGGGGTTTGAACTCTGGGCCTGGGTGTTGTCCCTGCAGTCTTCAGCTCAAGATGAGAGCACTCAACCATTTGAGCCACAGCGCCACTTCCAGCTTTCTGGTGGTTTATTGGAGCTAAGAGTCTCATGGATTTCCTGCCTGGGATAGCTTTGAACCATTATCCTTAGATCTCAGCCTCCTAAATAGCTAGGATTACAGGCATGAGCCACTGGTACCCCGCTTACAATTAATTTTTAAAAATAAGTTTTTATTGTGAAAATACTGTACAGAGGGGTTACACAAGCAAGGTAATGAGTACATTTCTTATCAAGCATTGTTGCCTCCTCCTTTGTTTTCCCCCTACCATCCCTTCCCTCCCACCTTACAATTAATTTTTGTTATTGTTGTTGGTTGTAGGGCCTGAACTCTGGGCCTGGGTGCTGTCCCTCAGCTCTTCAGTTCAAGTTGAAGGCTCTACCACTTGAGCCACAGTGCCACTTCCAGCTTTTTCTGCTTATGTGGTGCTGAGGAATTGAACCCAGGACCTTATGCATGTATGGCAAGGACTCTACCACTGAGCCACCTTCCCAGCCTATTAAAATTAATTTTTACAAAGAAAAATAATGCCTTCCACAAAGCCTAGCATACACTAAGTATATAAGGAAGGTTGCATCTCTTCCTTTCTCATTTCAGGTGCTCAAGTTTTTCATTTCAATGTCTTGGCCCAGAAGTAGGTCATTAAACTATACTAGCTCAGTATCAAATTTATTCACTCAAAATTGTGCAAGTGAAAATGAAGCAATCTAATTTTTAATTTTCATGATAGAGAAAAATTTTGAGGAAAACTTGGAGTTTTTTGCCTTTTCTTCTTTTAGGAGACCAGGACTTGAACTTGGTACCTGACACTTGGCTCATTGGCTGGCACTCTACCAACTGAGCCACGCCCCAAAGCCCAAGTTCAGGTCTTCATATGAATATTGAAATATTCAATATTTCATTTCAATAAGTGTTGCTTAGTGCGAGTACCAAACTTCAAGGATGAGCTCTGGAATGGAAATAACATCAACTTCAGAAGCAGACACTTGACTACAGTTGCTCATTTTGTGCCAGTACTGGGGCTTGAACTCAGTGCCTGGACTAATTTCCCTTAGCATTTTTGCTCAAGGCTGTAGTTCAACCATTGGAGCAACAGCTCCACTTCTGGCTTTTTGAAGATAGGAGTCTCATGGACTTTTCTGCTCTGGCTGGCTTTGAACTGCAATCCTCAGATCTCAGCCTCTGGAGCAGCTAGGATTCCAGGTGTAAGCCAGCAGCACCTGGCTTTCATTTTGACTTCTTGATGGTGATGGCAGTTATATTACTGAACTGAAGAATACCAACCACCTCCCTGACTGTAAAGGAGCAGAAGGTCAAACACAATTTAATGCCAATTTCAAAACATCCTCCTCTCATCCTTACCAAAATATTTCTAACTGGATCTGTAATACAACACTTCCACTCATAAAATCAAGTACTCCATTTCTACATGGTCAGATTGAGAAATGACCTTTGTGAGACAGGCGCTGGTGGCTCATGCCTGTAATCCTAGCTACTCAGGAGGATGAGATCTGAGGATCGTAGTTCAAAGCCAGCCTGGGCAGGAATTCTGTCAGTCTTTTTTTTTTTTTTTTTGGGGTCCGGTCATGGGGCCTGAACTCTGGGCCTGGGCCTCTGGCTTTTTTCTTTTTGCTTATGTGGTGCTGAGGAATCAAACCCAGGGCCTCATGCATGCAAGGCAAGTGCTCTACCACGGAGCCACCTTCCCAGCCCCTGTCAGAGTTTTATCTTCAATAAATCACCAGAAAACCAGAAGTGGTGCTGTGGCTCAAGTGATAGAGTGCTCGCCTTGAGCCGAAGAGTTCAGGGACAGCACCCAGGCCCAGAGTTCAAGCGAAAGAAAGAAAGAAAGGAAGGAAGGAAGGAAGGAAGGAAGGAAGGAAGGAAGGAAGGAAGGAAGGAAGGAAGGAAGGAAGGAAGGGAGAGAGAGAGAGAGAGAAAGAAAGAAAGGACCTTTGTACAAAATATACTCAAATTCTAGAAAAAGACCAAAAGGCAAGCTATTTTGATTATAACTGCCTTCCATCTTACTACAAACATCTCTTTGATCTCTTGGATTTTCCTTTAAAAATGAGAGCACAGGGCTGGGAAGGTGGCTCAGTGGTAGAGTGCTTGCCTAGCATGCATGAGGCTCTGGGTTCGATTCCTCAGTACCACATAAGCAGAAAAAGCTGGAAGTGGCACTGTGGCTCAAGTGGTAGTGCTAGCCTTGAGCAAAAGAAGCTCAGGGAGAGTGCCCAGGCCCTGAGTGCAAGCTCAGGACTAGCAGAAAAAAAAAAAAATGAGGGCGTAAGCTGGGCATCAGTGGCTCATGCCTGTAATCCTAGTTACTCAGGCTCAAAGCCAATTAACCAGCCAAAAGCTAGGAGTGGAGTGTAACTCAAGTGGTAGAGCACTAGCCTTGAGGAAAAAAAGCCAAGTGAGAGCAACGTTAAGTTCAAGCCCCACTACTGGCATGCGCACACGCACACACACACACACCCTCTCCACACACAGAGTAAAGTTTTGGTAAAATTTTAAAACCTGTTTCTTTTTTACAGTTTATTTTTCCAGGCCCTTGTGTTTGCTAAACATTCTATCAGTGGAGGCATGCCTTTTAAAGTTATTTTTCAGGGGGCTGGGAATGTGGTTTAGCAGTAGAATGCTTGCCTAGCATGCATGAAGGCCTGGGTTTGATTCCTC